TGATGTATTACGGAACGAGTAAAGAGACTTGCCGGTAACGAGATTGAACTAGGTATTGAGATACCGACGATCGAATCTCGGGCAAGTAACATACCGATGACAAAGGGAACAACGTATGTTGTTATGCGGTCTGACCGATAAAGATCTTCGTAGAATATGTAAGAGCCAATATGAGCATCCAGGTTCCGATATTGGTTATTGACCGGAGACATGTCTCGGTCATGTCTACATTGTTCTCGAACCCGTAGGGTCCGCACGCTTAACGTTACGATGACAGTTTCATTATGAGTTTATATGTTTTGATGTACCGAAGGTTTTTCGGAGTCCCGGATGTGATCACGGACATGACGAGGAGTCTCGAAATGGTCGAGACATAAATATTGATATATTGGAAGCCTATATTTGGATATCAGAATCGTTCCGGGTGAAATCGGGATTTTACCGGAGTACCGGGGGGTTACCGGAACCCCCCCGGGGGTTAATGGGCCTACATGGGCCCTAAGGGAGAAGAGGAGGGCCGGCCAGGGCAGGCCGCGCGCCCCCTCCCCCCCTCCCAGTCCGAATAGGACGAGGAAGGGGGCCCCTTTCCTCTTTCCCCCTTCTCCTTTCCTTCTCCAACAAGGCAAGAGGGGGAGTCCTATTCCCGATGGGAGTAGGACTCCTCCAGGTGCACCCCTAGGGGGGCGGCCGCACCTCCCCCCTCTCTCCTTTATATACGGAGGCAAGGGGGCACCCCAAGACACACAAGTTGATCTTCATGATCGTTCCTTAGCCGTGTGCGGTGCCCCCTTCCACCATATTCCACCTTGGTCATATCGTAGCAGTGCTTAGGCGAAGCCCTGCGACGGTAGAACATCAAGATTGTCACCACGCCGTCGTGTTGACGGAACTCTTCCCCGACACTTTGCTGGATCGGAGTCCGGGGATCGTCATCGAGCTGAACGTGTGCAAGAACTCGGAGGTGCCATAGTTTCGGTGCTTGATCGGTCGGGCCATGAAGACGTACGACTACATCAACCGCGTTGTTATAACGCTTCCACTGTCGGTCTACGAGGGTACGTGGACAACACTCTCCCCTCTCGTTGCTATGCATCACCATGATCTTGCGTGTGCGTAGGATTTTTTTTGAAATTACTACGTTCCCCAACAATGAGCTAGTCTTAGATGCGAGATTAGGGACCTATCCGGTGTTTACATTTACACACATGCATATGGGTTTTCTCGTGGATCTCATATTTACGACCACTGCAATTATGGGACAAAAACATAAACTTGAGTATGAACATAGAAATAAACTATAACATTTTATTATTTCCACCCAGGCATATTTCCTCGAGCTATTAGTGTGGCAACTTCGGAATCTTATTTCGTGTTGCTATGTGGCATGTTTTGATTTTCCCTATTCACGGGACTGGTGGTGAAGGATGGCAAGCCTTTGTTGCGTGGGGTGATGCTCTAGCCGATGTTTCTTCAGCAATTTTTAAATATAGTTTCAAGGAACGAGTGGCTATTGCGGTCTTTAAAGCCTTGTATGGCAAGAGCGCTTGCATGTAATCCTTTCCTTTACTGTTAGTTCAGTGGAATTTTCATTCTCCTGCGGGTGGCATACAATCAGAGGAAGAAGGCTAATATGATATTTAATGTAATTTTATAGTTTACTGGTCATTCTTCATCCATTTGTCTTTCCATCGCGTTGACTATGTTTTCCTTGATAATTCTCGGATCTAAGATGCCCTTGGGTGTCTTTTCTCAAGGAAAAAAGAATTCACTTAAGAATCGAGTTCCAAGTTAAGTGTTAATACCATCGTTTGGATTGGGAATAAATCTCATGCAAGCTAAATGATTGGGATGATTGGAGATGGTCTAATATGCATATGATTGAAAGATCATAAAAGAAGTAAGACCACATACATTTTCTTGAAATAAGATTTTGCCCCGCTTTATATATAAAGCAACAACACCGAACAATACACAACCGAACAATACAAGGTGGAGAGAAAACTCTCTTACAAAGCAGATCAAAAGATACAATAAGAAGCTTAGAGCTAGCCTGACAACTCGCGTAGGACCAAGATATGACAACAAAACTCCACGGCAACATGAAGCTTAGACCACATACATTTTCAAGGTCGCTAGGTTCAATTATTACCGTTTTTGTTAATTGTGGTAGCTTTTTCTCTAAAGAGCTTTAGCTATCTTGTGAATTCGATAAGAAATCAGTAAAATAAGAATACATCAATAAATTTGTATTGATGGGCCATTGGCCAGTTGTTATATCCCCATGAAGAGGAACGACAAAAAGTTTGTCCATGAAAGAACCAAGAAGCAACCACTTCCACATTCGGTAGACTTCTTTTTGACACCTGACACACCCTTGTTTAATAGCATCTCGGTTGACAGCCTAACACTCTAGATACCACTATCAACTATTTGTTACTCTTTTGTTTTGAAACACTCTCGAGGTAGTTAAGGTCACTACAAATACAACCATATATAAACATGTCACAATTCATTAAGTGGCATATATTCATTTGTGGGGGATTGCCATTTTTGTTGCTTTGCTTATATTTATTGTGAAACTCAGCGCACTTTTATTTCAAACTAAATTAGAAAACTAAAGTATTGATATGATAGGGAACACTTTTATCATTATTATTATTTACTTATAACCGTGAACAAAAGAATCATATACAAATATAGGGTATCTTAATATGCCAGAACACACCTACATGGTTATAACACAAATAAAATTACTAGATAATATAGTGAACCACATGTGAATAAGAAACTTATTGTTAAAAAACTAATATATATTTGACATAAATTATTATGTAGAAATACAAAAGTTTAGTACAAATAAATAAAACAAGAAAATTTTGGATCTGTATTGCACGAACATGGAATAGATTTTCTCTTCGATCAAAAGTGGGAAGATATTTTGTAGGAACGAAATATGGGTTAGCCCTTACGGGTTTGTGTTTAAGGCAAGATACTTATTTAGTAGGGGCTGCTTCGTCACACCGGGAAAGATTATCCTACCATTCACCCTTGTGATCCAGGGGAGATAGCAATCATAGAATTTTTTTTCTTTTCCCTCTCAAACCATCATCTACCATTCACCAGGAAAGATTATCCTACCATTCACCCTTGTGATAGGCGGGTTAGCCTTTTTCTTTTTCTTTTGTTGCACACACACGGAAATTTTTGGTACATGGGTGTTTTTTAATGCAGTGACTTTTTTTTCATGTTTTTGTGCATGGATTTCTTCATGTGAAATGGATCAAAATTTTAACCAACTCAATAATTCTTCTCGGCTGCTAGAAATGGGACCCACCTATCTAATACAGTACTGGTGCATTGACGTACTTTCTCTCCCACGAATGCCACCTGGGACAATTATCATGTCCTCCAGCAGTGTTTTCCGACATGGACCTCGGAGCAGGGGCTCCTCCTCAACGCGGGGGGAGGGGGGAACGTCATGCCCTCCACTTCACTCACGCCACAGACTGAAGCAGAGGCGGACAAGGAAGCAACAACGCAAAAAAGTAATGAAGGAGGAAGGCTTGAGGAAGAAGAAACGGACCCACGGGAATAATTGGTAGAAATAGTCTTTGCTACGTGTGTGTATGACGTGCGGACCCGAGACAAGCTATGGCCATAAAGTGTAATCGTGGCAGCACTGTAAGCATGCGAATAGAGAAATTTCAGATTCTATCTCATCCCTAAGCTCTCCTCATCAATCCCCTCCCTGTTCTCCTCATCAATCCCCTCCCTGTACGATCCATCCTAGGGTCGTAACATTGGAAGACGAGGGTTTTGCCCTGCTCAAAGTCCTACATTTTTTTTCTTTCTCTCTTCTCCTTTTGTTCGTTTAGTGAAGGGAAACATGCGCTTGTGGTCCGGACTGTGCATTGCCATGATCTGCAGCAATTCCTATGACTTAAAATGCACCTCCCGATGGTATGTGAGATATAGTGTCATCCTAGTTCAGCTATGAGCTGGCTGTCTGGTTGGTATTCATAGAAGAACTTGGTAGATGTGGTTGTCCTAGATAAAACTTGATATTTTTATGTCCTTTTAGACTTGCTTGTCCTAGATAACTTGATTCTTTGTTCGGGTTCATGTACTGTACCGAAGTCATGTGTGAGACCTAAGTTCATCAATTATGTGTGTCATTTTCAGATAGTTTCGTCTTTTGAACATATGAAATGTCCATGATGGTCTAATGCGCTAAATGGTGTCAAAAAGATTCGACCAAAAAATGAATCTGCCCAATCTTTTTTGAAAAATTCCTTAAAAAATGAAAAATACCCTTATATTCAATCTGGGAAAGTTTCAAAAAAATTGGACATTTTGAGTCAAATTTGGCGAAAAAAATCAAAGTTTCCAGAAAAAATTGAAACAATTCTAAAAAATGCACACTACCATTATGTTCAATCTGGGAAAATTTCAAACCGTTTTCCATACAGAAAAGAAACTAGAATGAAAATACACATTCATTTTTGTGTCAACGTTCAGGCAAAAAACTGTTTCCAGAAAAAACTGAAACAATTCTAAAAAATGCACAGTACAATTATATTTAATCTGGGAAATTTTCAAAAAAATAAATTCTACATATAAGTCGAATTAGAAGGGAACTACACATTCAGGGCCATTTTGCCAGCAACAATAGCACTAGATTGATGCCGCTGGTGAGTTATGAAATATATTTTTGAGCCGAGGATTATAATATAGAATTTCTATGTAAAAGATGGGTATTAAAATGTTTGACGGCAGATCCATGTCAAACATCTTGCTTCACAGCAAAATGTAACGAGCACCTCCTTAGACTACATGAAACATCGGACATACATCAGAGTGGAGTTTTAGCCTTCATTACAGCCAAAATGATGCATGATTCTACTGGAACAGGTTTGACACTCATAATTAAACACGATTTTCTTCTTCTGCCGCCTATATTGTATTAGTATAGTGATGGACGATTCTACCACTTCCAGCATTCAGAACTTGAATGAAATCTGTAGGCCACCAGGAGCATGTCGAACAGATCGAGCTTGGGCACCATGGTATCCACCCCCAGCAGGATGCATGATATTCTCATAGCACAGGCAACAACCACCAATGTTTTTGGGATCACCTGCGGGTGTAAAATAATTTATTTAAAAAAAACATCACATACCCGCTCATCAAGATAAACTTGTGTCAACAAAGAGTGAAACTTGGATTATTGAACATATATACCTGGGTCAAGCTTAACACATGAAACACAAGATAGTTTCTTCGTCCCCACGATTTCCAATTCAGCAAAGAAGTACTTTGGGACGAGATCAACGCAGTTGGTGGCTCCTTTTTTCTTAGCAAGGAAATTTGCATGGAACCAGATACCATTGAAGACAAATACATGACTGCTCACTGCTTTAACCATCTCATGCTCGTCCTCCTAACAAATTCACAAACGTAAGAGAGCAGTCCAAGGGTGCATATATGAATTAATGAGTAGCTAGGCACTTGGTAGTTGGTACTGCATTATGAACTGTTAGATTTAGTCTGTGGAATTCATCAACATAGGAGGGCAGTTCAAGGGTGCAATGAAGTGCCATGTAACTGAGAAAGAAGTTAATCTTATCATGAAAAACAAACTGGCAAAGGATTAAAAAAAAGGAGAACTTGGGAAGGTCAAGAGGCGAAACAGATTGCATACTGGTTCCGTAGTCTTCATCGCACGTTGGAAGCAATTAAAGAGTATGATCACGGTTAACAAAGTCCAACTCACTGGAACATTGCTGGGGAACATTTATAGAACATCAACACAAGAAGACTACGTACATGATAACCTTGTGATACCAGAGTCTAGAGAACTTGCAGGCTGTTCTATAACAGCACTTCCATGTACATAGGGCCAAACCAGACCTATTGAGTCTCATGCAAAAGATGCAGGCAGCACAGCATACACAGTGCAAAGCATTCTAGACCACATGCTACTTTCTTTATAATCATAAACACCCATGTCTCGAGCTTAATTACAATTCTAGACCACTTGCAAGATCAAGTTTGTTCCAGTTTGACTTATTTCCACAGGTGGAAAACGGCAAATTGAGTTTCAACCCACAAAGTAAAGAAAGCTGAAGAGCTGTCCCAATCTGATGAACTAAATATTGAATGACTACCCTGCCACTAAGTGGCACTATGCAATATTTATACACTTGAGTAGAATAGAGCAAACCTGATTCATGTTGTTGTAGTGTTCCAAAGCCACACGTGCTCACGTCAGAGTTTGCCATGTTAGATCATGTTTAACTTCTATCCTGAAAGAGCAGAAGTGTCAACATCATACACATATCTTGCTTGTGTGTTTTCTATCAAACTAGTACTTACGAGTTAACACTGAATGGTATTATCAAATAGAACAGAAGCACTAAACCTTTATTATAACAAACAGAAAGTGAAAAGGCGATAACTTACATTGGCGAACAATTTTGGAACTTGATGCTATCACTAGTGACAGGCTACAACTCATACTTGTCAATGGAGAACTGACTGGCAGGTGATAACTTGCAACGACAAACAGTTTTGGACCTAGATACTATACCTTGTTGATGGAAAAATAAATAGCAGGCAAGGAGCACATTAAACTGTGTCATAACCAATATGACCCTCAAGGATGAAGACATGATAAGAAAAGTATGGTAATGCAGGGACTTGATGGCGAGATAACAGATAAGAGATAAAGGAAGCGATTACAGGATTGAATGTTGCTTAATAAATATCCTAGGCACCAAGCAGATTTTACTCCCACAAATATGGAATTGTTGCATTCTAAAAGAGAATCCCCTAGCAAGCAGGGTATGAAGAAACAACTAAAGCAACTGTTAAGAATACATACATACAGATAGATAAAAGACAGAATCTATCACCAGCATATATACAGATCATATTTCTAGTTCTTGATTACATAGTTGAAACTATATCAACTCCCATTTATACCAATTACTACTACTAAATGCTAATGTTGGTCTATTCATCAACAAAGCTAGTGGCCTGAAGCTTGGGTCATGTGGTGAGCACAAATAATAGGATAGCAAAATCACGGACAAGACAATGGAATCGATTCAGTTGAGTATATCCATCCATCAAACAAATTCAATCAATCCAAGCATGCAGCACATTAGGGAGAGGGTGTGGAGAGAATGAGATACCCGTTGTCGTAGCGACTGGGGGCGGGCTTGAGGTTGCTGGTATCCTGGACGACGCGGTTGCGGAGCCTGTAGGAGATGCGATGCCACTCAGTCTTGGGCGGAGGAGCCGGGGCCTTCACGCGGCGCGCGGGAGGAGGAGCCACGGTCACATCCTCCGAATCCCGGTGGCCGGGAGGGGGCGAAGATGGTCGCGAAACCCTCGCAGCTTGACGCTTGGGCGGAGGAGCCGGGGTCTCGGCGCCGCGTGCTGGAGGAGCAGGAGGAGGAGGCGACGCGACCGCGCCCTCCGAGTCCGAGTCCAGGGGGCGGGGTGGTCGCGCAAACCTCGGAGACTCGCGCTTGCGCAGAGGAACGTGGCCCTCGGCGCGCTTGGCCCGGCGTGCCGGAGGCTCCGCCGCCTTCGCCTCCGGCCTGGACGGCTTGGATCTCCGGGGTTCGCTGGTGGCGCGCTCGTCATGGAGATGGAGGCCAGTCATCTCGGCGACTCCGGTGGTGGTACGGGATGGAACGAACAACGATCGAGAACGGGTCCGGAGCGCCTATGCCTCGCTTGTAGCGAGACCGAAGAAGGTCTCTCTGAAGGAGCGCCATCGCAACCGCAACTAATGTGCAGGCCCAACTTTCAGGTTAGTTCCTTTTTTTAACGTTTCAAACATTCTTTTATTTTTTGTCTACTTTTCTTTAATATATTTTGAATACATATTTCCAGAACTTAATTTAGGTAAAAAAATCAATATCAAATAATATAAACACAGTGTAAATGTTTCGTTAGCATAACTTGAAAAATGTTGATAGCTTTCAAAAAAATGCTTGTGACATTTAAAAACTATACACACGTCTCAAAAACATATACGTAGAATTTTTCAAAAAATGTTTATACAATGTACAAAATGTTCATGTAACTCAAAAAATGTTAGTCATGTACTCCCTTCATCCCAAAATTCGTGTCTTATAGATTTGTCTAAATACGGATATATCAAGTCACGTCTTAGTATTAGATACATCCATATCTAGATGAATCTGAGACAAGAATTTTGGGACGGAGGGAGGGAGTATTTCAAAAAGGGGAAGCATGTATATAGAAAATGTTTCTGATGTATACAAAAAATGTTGAATGTGTACAACCGAGAAAACCCAATAAAAGAAAAGGAGAGAAAGAAACAAAAAAATAATGAAAAGAAGAAAAAAAACCAGTGAAACGGAGTAAAAACACAGAAAACAGCCAAAAAATAAACAAAAACAAATAAAAGAAGAAAACCATGTAGAAACAAAGAAAACCGATAAGAACCGTGAAAGAAATGAAGAAAAACGTTGAAAAACAGAAAATATAAAGAAACACAAAGAAACAAAATAGAGGCGGGGGCAGGGGGGGCTCAGTAAACAAACACAACGAACACAATTGAAATGGAGCGAACGAAAAAAACCCAGCAAATATAGGCCAGCCCAGTAGCTACAGGTGGGAGGGAATCCTTCAGGCGAGAATTCCTTCAATCTCGCGTTGAACCGGATATAGCTCTCACGGTCTTCTTTAGCAACCTTTAGCTCACGGTAAGGCGTGTTGGGCTTATAATATTTAAACCAGGGTTGTGTGCGGCGTGCGCTCGGTGCGTCAAGCTCACGCCTGTATAGCGAGATAAAAATACACGGCATTGCCTCTAGGGAGCCTTTAATCGACCAGCCTAGTAGGAAGTCCTATTTGTGTCAATTCAATATATATGTGATTGACTTTCAAAAAAATATATATGTGATTCTTTTTGCGCGGGAATTCAATA